CATACTTTTCATACAGGTGAAAGGCATCTTGCTGTTGTATGGGCAGCTACGTTTTTTGCCCTGATTATAAAAAGCAGTACATAACATGATCCTTCTGAGGCAGTAGTGCCCTTTTCCCCATCTTATGGGTGGAAAACTGGAGCAGAGAGAAGTTAAGTAATTGGCTTTGTCACACAGTTATAAGGGTCAGAATCAGGGCTGACCACAAAGTGTGCCAGCCAGAGTCCATGCATGTCATCGCTGCATCATCCTGTTTTTTCAGTGTTAGAGCAGCCTTGCCAGGTTTTTTGAATTTTATCTAAGAGACTGTTCCCAATATAGAGGGTAGGGTCCCTAGGCCTGGCCGGCGATCAGGGCCATCTGTGGGGCGACTGATGAGTGGGGTGATAGGGAGGCCACCCACTGGCACCCACCTAGGCTGGTGGCCTGGGCTGCCCACTGGCCAGCCCAGCCCCCTGATTGCTGCCGCAGGTCACCTCCCTCTCAGGGCAGTGCGCATCATCGAAACCAGTCATTCTGCCGGTCGTTCCACTGTTTGGTTGATTTGCAAATTAGGGTTTTATTTTATAGGATTCTGCAAATCATAGGTAATTGGTAGACATACACATTCTGTCTTTCTTCCTCTATTGTGGGAGGGACAAAAACCCCACACTGGTGAGTCTCCCCATGCAATTCATTTCAACATTTCTTTACTCCAAATAAGGAGTTTAAATGTGTATTCATAAGAAGGCTAAATGCTCAGTGGTCAAGCTGATGGGAGTGGGGCAAGATGGACAGCTGCCCTCTCCCCACAAGGACCCTCTGCTCCCCTCCATCTTCCCCATGAACATGGGGAAGAAAGTCCCAGAAGCAGCGGGGTCCCAGTGGCCGCCCTGGAGGAGGAGAAAGTGACTAAGAGTTGGGGGTCCCAGAGGCATCGGCAGCAGGGGCCCCAAGGCTGTCCAGCCCGGCCCTGCAGCCATGTACCCTCCAACTGACCTCCCATGTGCCCTGGCCAGGCTGCTGGTCCCTCATGTCTTGGGAGCCAGCAGAGCCCACCCTCTCACTGCCGCCCCCTGCTGGCCATCTCTCCTGGGACAGGTGTGAGGGGCAGCTGAGAGCCCCCCTCAGCAGCAGGAACAGCCTGACCCCAGACTGGGGTGCAGAAGCTGAACTCAGGACTGTCTCCCCCATCCTACCTGGGCTGCAGGTCTGAGCCTTTGGAGCAGTGGTTCTCAACCTTCTGGCCCTTTAAATGCAGTTCCTCATGTTGTGACCGTACCATTAAATTATTTTCGTTGCTACTTCATAACTGTAATGTTGCTACTGTTATGAATCATAATGTAAATATCTGATATGCAGGATGGTCTTAGGCGACCCCTGTGAAAGGGTCGTTCGACCGCCAAAGGGGTCGCAACCCACAGGTTGAGAATCACTGCCTTGGAGGGAACTGAAGGCTCTTCAGAGTCCCCTGAACGGGGGGCCACAGCTCAGTGAGGGGGGATTACCATCCCCCACAGCCCCCCTCCCAGGGTGTCTTCCCCTGGGGAGAGAGGAGCCACTGTGACACAGGGAGCCAGATCAGGGCTCCCACAGCCCAGGACTGCCAGAGGGGGATGGGGGGGGCGAGACCAATGGGTCAGATGCAGCCCAGGAGTTGGCCTGGGTGGCCTGGCCCCTCTTGCAGGGAAGGCTGGAGAATCTGGCTGTATTTGTCCCCTGAAGAGGGGTCTGCAGCCTGGACGGACTGGAGAACACGTGGGTGTAGATTCGGCATCTCTACTCGGCCCTGGGACAGGGACCTCCCACGCGGGAGAGCAAAGGTCATGGTCAGGGACCGACACATCCAGGGCCTTCGTGGGGCCACTCCAAGATGGATATGGGGAGAGAAGGGGGACTGGGGTAATCCTATGGGACCATCGGGAGGAGGCACCTCTTCCCTGTGTCCAGGAGAGGGTGCCGGAGGGGAGACTCAACTTGAATGGGCTGGCCTGGTGCACACACACACACACACACACACACACTCACACTGACATCTGTCCTCCCCAAAAGGAAGGTGTGGCTGCCACCTGCTATGCAACTTGGAGGGAGTTGAACTCCCCTGGGGAAAACGGTTCCCCAGGAGCTCCCCTCCATGGACCCTGACAGCAGCCAGACTGCCCTGTCTCCTTGGAGGGCAGGCTGTCCCGTGGAGAGCGCTGCACAGGGCTCAGGACCGGGACCAGGGACCAGGGCTGCCACCTGTCCCGTGTGACCCTGTGCAACTCACTAACCCTCCCGGGCCTCAGTTTTCCTCTCCTGTGAAGGGGACACTCATTCCTCCTCAAGACTTTTCAGAATAAAACGAAAGAACACGAACTTTATGCAACTGAGCATGTGCATTGTGGTTGCTGGCCCTCAAGTTCTTTTCAAGTTATAATACTGTGTCATATTCTATATTTTCAAAGACTCCTGGACCCCACTCCTCTGTTTTGTCCTGGATTGTAAGGGGAAATGGAGGGCAGAGGGGGACATGGTCCCCAAGTGGCGGGTGCAAGATCGAGGCAGAGGCCAGGGTGTGCCCTACTGTAAGGCAGGGTGGCCACTGACCCGGCTTGCCCAGGTGTTGGGGTCCAGCCCCAGCAGTCCAGGGGTTCCCAAAGGTGTGGACAGAATCGGTAAAGAAGGAATGACACGGAGGCAGGTTCAGTTGGTTGGCATAGCCAGGTTCTCCAGCCAGGTTCTCTAGCCAGGTTCTCTTGTCAGGTTCTCCCAACAGGTTCTCTCTTTTATTCTCCTGTTACATCTGCATTTATACCATTTGATTTTAATCCTATCCATTCTATTCCAAAGGTTAGGGCATTTGATATCTCCATTCCAAGGTCACTACTCTACTGTTCTGTTAAGCTACAAGGAAGTAACTGAAGGAGATTATCCTAAGTAAAGATTATGTAACTGAAGCATGATTGTTCGTAGTTAAGGTGATTAACTACCGGGCTAGTACTTAGTTAAAGGGTTTTACTGATTTATTCCCTTCCTTAGTCCTGTTAATCCCTAACTCCAGGGAAAAATCCCCACCTGGGGAAACAAGCTTTCTCGGAGAGGTGACCCTGGTTAGAAAACATAGCTCTAAGAAGGGGAGCAAACATATTAAGAACAGTATGCCATATACACCAGGTCCCTTGAAACATATGCTGTGCAGATGTTTCTTCCCTGCAGCGACTGTGTCAAGCAGCAAGGATGGACCAGCTTCTAGCAGAAAAGTAGCAGATACTTCACTTGGCATGTAGCAAATGTGCTCATAGGATGCTGCTTATGGTTAGGACATTCTTCGCACAGTGTAACTCAAGTCTTTTCTACTAAAGACAAATTGAACTTCTATCATTTGTTTCTCAATAGTAATGCGCCTGGTAGTCTTAATATCCTCTCCCAGGTCCCAGCATCTCATTCCCATCTGCCTCTCCCACCCTTGTCCCCGAGCTTCAGGGGACCAGGTCCCAGCAGACCCAGGGCAGGGGTGCAGGCAGGGCTGGGTGCCAGGCAGCCCAAGGCCGCGGCTGCCTCAGGCAGTGAGAACCGAGCTTCCTGAGCAAGGGGCTGAGACAGGGTACCCTGTGGGGGTGACCTGTGGTGGCCAGGGGAAGGATGGACAAGGAAGCCCCGGCACCCCTGGCACGTTCAGATGTTTGAACTGAGGAGCCGGCAGGCGGGCCTGCCACCTTCCACTCTGAGGCAGGCTGGCAAGCCAGAGGCTCCCAGCTCTTGCAAATGCTGCACACCCTGGGCCAGGCAGACGGTGGAGCTCCAGCCACCCCACCCCTCCTGCAGGGCTGATGGACTCGCCCCAGTGCTGGGAGCAGGGAGGGTGGAAGGACCTCCCCAGGTGACCCCTCCCAGGGCAGCCCACCCCCCTGAATGGGAAGCAGGGAACCAAGGTCCTGAGTTGCAGCCTGTCCTCAGAGGGTGGTCCAAGCTTCCTGGTGGCCGAGGGCTGCTCCCCCCCTTGCCTGGTCCCAGCACTGTGTCCCCCCCTTCGCACCACCCCCCCGCCCCGGGCCCCTGTCAGCCCCACAGGCACACTGCACGTGTGCAGGGCTCTCTGACTTGGTTGTCTGTCTATTGACTATAAGCAGCCGTGACAATTTTTTCCTGTAGCTCCTCTAATGGCAGATTGTTTTCTTTTATAGTTTAATTTTAATTTTTCAGTTCCAGTTGGCATTCCGTGTGATTTTGTGTTGCTTTCAGGTGTACAGAATAGAGGTGGACAGTCACATACTTTACAAAGTGGTCCCCCAGCATGTCAGTGCCCCCCTGGCACCACACCCA